ATTTTGTACTGGTTGACATTGAGAACCAGGATTGCCATTGGGTGAGAAAGGCAATTCAGTGATAAAAAAGAGACATAAGCTTCCCCCCCCCCCCAAACGGGTTTGCCGCCAGAACACAGGTGCCGTGAAAACCACCCATAAAAGCCAAAATGGGGAAGGAAAAGACCCACATCAACATCGTCGTCATCGGACACGTAGATTTGGGCAAGTCCACCACTACTGGCCATCTGATCTACAAAGTGGTGGATCGACAAAGGAACCATCGAAAAATTTGAGAAGGAGGCCGCGAAATGGGAAAGGCTCCTTCAAGTATGCCTGGGTCTCGGATAAACTGAAAGCTGAGTGTGAGCATGGTATCACCACTGATATCTCCCTGTGGAAATTTGAGACCAGCAAATATTATGTGACTATTATTGATGCCCCAGGACACAGAGACTTATAAAAACATGATTACAGGCACATCTCAGGCTGACTGTGCTGTCCTGATTGTTGCTGCCGGTGTTTGGTGAATTTGAAGCTGGTATCTCAAAGACTGGGCAGACCCATGAGCATGCCCTTCTAGCTTACACACTAGGTGTGAAACAACTAATTGTTGGTGTTAACAAAATGGATTCCACTGAGCCGCCCTACAGCCAGAAGAGATACTAGGAAATTGTTAAAGAAGTCAGCACTTACATTAAGAAAATTGGCTACAACCCTGACACAGTAGCATTTGTGCCAATTTCTGGCTGGAATGGTGACAACATGTTGGAGCCAAGTGCTAACATGCTTTGGTTCAAGGGATGGAAAGTCACCCGTAAAGATGGCAATGCCAGTGGAACCACACTACTTGAAGCTCTGCATCCTGCCACCAACTCGTCCAACTGACAAGCCCTTGCGTCTGCCTCTCCAGGATGTCTACAAAATTGGTGGTATTGGCACTGTCCCTGTGGGCCGAGTGGAGACTGGTGTTCTCAAACCTGGCATGGTGGTCACCTTTGCTCCAGTCAATGTTACAACTGAAGTAAAGTCCGTTGAAATGCACATGAAGCTTTGAGTGAGGCTCTTCCAGGGGACAACGTGGGTTTCAACGTCAAGAACGTGTCTGTCAAAGATGTTCGTCGTGGCAACGTTGCTGGTGACAGCAAAAATGACCCAACATGGAAGCAGCAGGCTTCACTGCTCAGGTGATTATCCTGAACCATCCAGGCCAAATTAGCGCTGGCTATGCTCCTGTACTGGATTGTCACACTGCTCACATTGCCTGCAAGTTTGCTGAGCTGAAGGAAAAGATTGATCCCGCTCTGGAAAGAAGTTGGAAGATGGTCCTAAATTCTTGAAGTCTGGTGATGCTGCCATCGTGATATGGTCCCTGCAAGCCCATGTGTGTGAGAGCTTCTCAGACTATCCTCCTCTGGGTCGTTTTGCTGTTCGTGATATGAGACAGACAGTTGCTGTGGGTGTCATCAAAGCAGTGGACAAGAAGGCTGCTGGAGCTGGCAAGGTCACCAAATCTGCCCAGAAAGCTCAGAAGGCTAAATGAATATTATCCCTAATACCTGCCACCCCACTCTTAATCAGTGGTGGAAGAACGGTCTCAGAACTGTTTGTTTCAATTGGCCATTTAAGTTTAATAGTAAAAGACTGGTTGTTAATAACAATGCATCGTAAAACCTTCAGAAGGAAAGGAGAATGTTTTGTGGACCACTTTTGTTTCTTTTTGTGTGGCAGTTTTAAGTTATTAGTTTTTAAAATCAGTACTTTTTAATGGAAACAACTTGACCAAAAATCTGTCACAGAATTTTGAGACCCATTAAAACAAAGTTTAATGAGAAAAAAAAAAAGAGAGAGAGACATAAAAACCCAGCAGTTCTTCTAATCCACTAACCCTTGCACTGGAAGAAAGACTATGAGCTCATAATGCATTTTAGCTTCAACAAATATTAGTGCTTTCTGTATCTAACCACTGCAAATGCCTAGAAGCAACAACCATTCTTTATGCCATGATTGTGCTCTCTATATAATATTTCCCATGAAAAGTTGCCATGTACTCCTTGAAAAAATAACTGATTCCAAGGCAGGAGCAGGAAAGGTACAAGATAAGCCTAGAGAATTTTATAATACAAAGAAAAACAAGGAAGCTATTCAAAACTATGGGGCACATGTCAAAAGTATTAGTACCTGGGACATCAGGCTGCACTAGGAAGTAAGGAAATGCCAATAAAAGAGGGGATATACAGACAGATACAGGAGCCAGCTTGAAGAATGTCCTGAGGGCCAATATTGGGACAATTTGGCATCAAAATAATAATGACAGCAACAAATAAACCAACAAAATGTAAGAGGAATCCAGAAATTCACAGTAACAGTAATTAACTAGTAAGAAGGTAAAGCCCTTATGGCAGATTGACAGGTAATAAACATAGCAAGAATGATGGAGACAGAAAAATTCTCATTTGGCAACCATTATCGTATAATAATAATAATTCATTCAGGCAAGAAATATCAATGGATGCTAAAAGGAATGAGTGAAAATTTGATGAGGATACTTAAATACACTCAGTGTATCTTCATTTTATAAATGTTTATTAACTACAAAGGAAAAAATAGTAACTTTACAAGGGAGAAACCTGGCAGACACCACATTCACCAAGTGATCAAAGTTAAAAGTCCTGACATAGCCTACTGAGGACACACAGTCACTTCTGTAGTACGCCTGCCAAAAATGAATAACCCGAATCTAATCAAGAGGAAATTGTCAGACATTACACACAGAAATTGGCCTATACTCTTCAAAAATTTTGGCTTGGAGTGGTGGCTCACGCTTGTAATCCTAGCACTCTGGGAGACCGAGGCGGGAGGATCGTTAGAAGTCAGGAGTCCCAGACTAGCCTGAGCAAGAGCGAGACCCCGTCTCTACTAAAAAAATAAATAAATAAAAAATAAAAAGAAATTAGCTGGACAACTAAAAATATATAGAGAAAAAATTAGCCGGGCATGGTGGCGCATGCCTGTAGTCCAGATACTCAGGAGGCTGAGGCAGGAGGATCGCTTGAGCCCAGGAGTTTGAGGTTGCTGTGAGCTAGGCTGACGCCACGGCACTCTAGCTCGGGTGATAGAGTGAGACTCTGTCTCAAAAAATTTTTTTTGAGGTCAAAAAGACAAAGAATCTGAAAAAAATGTTTCAGATTTAAAAAGACTAAAGAGATGTGATAGCTAAATACAACGTGTGACTTTTGGACTGGAACCTGGACCAGGAAACAAAAAATGCTATGAAGTCTATGTACGGTAGTGAGACAACGGACAAAATCTGAATGTGGAATTTTGAATTCGATAATAGTATTGTATCAATATTAAATATTCTGATATGTGGTCATGTGAGCAAATGCCCTTTTAAGTAGGAAATACACACTGATGTACTTGAGAACAAAAGGGCATAATATCTGCAACTTAGTCTCAAGTGGGAGACAGAGGGAGGGAAGGAGGGAGGGAGAGAGAAAGGCAGGAAGGAAGAAGGGAGGGAAAGAGGGAGAGACCAATGATAAAGCAATTGGGACAAAATGTAAATAACTGATATATCTAGATAAAGGACATATGCAAATTTTTTGCACTTTTCTTAAAACTTTACATTTTGATATAATTTCAAACTAATAGAAAAGTTATACCACCTCCTTCCCTGCCAAAATGACTCTGTAGTCAACATGAAGAGATTCCTGCTGCTCAACCACGGACATCAATAAGAAAAAGATAATCATCAATAAGGCAAATAATTACAATGAATAAAATATATCAAATATGTTAAAATCACGAATTCAAAATCACATACACACAAAACTTCACTGGTCATCTTCGAAGGACGCTACAGGGATCAATTTATTATTTGCAAACTGGCAGATAAAGGGACCTAGTCAAGCTTTTATCTGTGTCTCCTTCAAGACACAAGACCCAGAATACCCAAAGAGTTGACAAAGCAGAGTGTAATTTCTCTTTACAGATGTATTCCAGCTGGTAAATTAGAAATGAATGATAGAATATTGCCATTTGTAACACCTAATGAAAGAATAGATCTAGGCCTTCATCACCAACTTTTGCCTTCTGATGAAAACATACAACACTATCTATGTTCTGGGGGGCAAGAAGTCTTGCCCCCCAGAAAAGCAAAAAAATGAACCAAAAAAACCCTCAAACTTTTATCTGATTAAAACTCTACACATAGGAGACAAATAGGGTAAGTGTTCCAACAAACATACACAATCACCAAATTTCAGTTTATGGGAAACTATAAAAGAACCAGTTTCTTTAACATAAAATGCCAAAAAGAGAGATGGAAAGGGAACATAGAGATAAAGCAGACAACCAATTGCAACAAACCAACCTTTCTTGGATATTGATTTGAACAATAAGACTATTTAAGAAAAAAAAATATATATATATATTACACCAATGAGAAATTTGGAACATTGACAAGATATTTGATAATATTAGGAAAGTATGTTACTTTTTCAGTTGTACATGATAGCTTATCGGTGCATGTTTAAATCGTCGATCTCTTGATAAATGATGGTATTGATATTCAGATGATAAGTTATGGTCTGGGTTGTAAATAACTCCAGGAGTGGACGGAAATGAGTGGGTTGAACCGAGCAATGGAGTGCGTTATAACACAATATAATGATTATCATACTATTTACTGTCTGGTTGTATCTGCAATGTTCTATAATAAAGATTTCTAATCCAATAAACTCACCAAACATACTGAAGAGAATTGTCGTAGCTTGCACACAAACTCGGCAACAATGGTTCTGCAGGGAAATAGGTTCCTGATGATTGTTTTTCGTCTCTTCTGTTCTTGCTTGATTAATATATCATTAATTGTGTTACTGGGTATGATCTTTACATCTAATTTCTTGCGAAATGTGTGTGTGAGAACCATCTCAAAATACAGAAGTGAAAAATTAATTAACTAAAATTTGAGTAATTATCTAGTGGCGTGTTATATATTTAAATTTGTGGTTGTTGTGGTCCTCTGCGCTGTAGTGTAGTTTCATGATCAATGATTACAGCTGTGCAAGGGTCACTGCTATGCTCATCAAATCAGTCAAGTCAGCTGTTAAATGCAAAACAGTACAGTTATAAAGAAATAACAGACCCAATCGCCATCTTATTCCCAATTAGCCGTGTATCGCAGATGTGTACACAGGATACAAGAGCACCCCCTACCCAACATTTCCCTTTCTCGCCGGAATAGAGCACAGATGACTTGCGTGTCAGCACACCAATGCTCACGCGGGGTAACTTTTGAGCTTGTCCTTTGTGTTTTGTGTCACAGCATAGAAGGACAACTGGGTGAGCACCTCTTCTCACGGGCTCTGGTGGGTGCCATTCTGTTATGTCTTTACACCATGCAGGTCTCGGTTTCCATCCTAGTAGGAAGAAAGTTGCAATCGTAAATTTTTTTCTCGTAGTATACATGATTAGATTCATTTTAACAAGAAACCTTTTACGTCACCCTACTGGTTACTTAGCTTAAGCCAACCAAAAAGTAGTCTTAAAGCGTTATTATTGGCCGGGCGCTAGTGGCGTCGCGCCCTGGTAATCCTAGCTCTTTGGACCGAGGGGGCGGACTTGGCTCGGGGTCAGGAGTTCAACCGCATGAGCGGGCCCGGTCCTCTATTAAATAGACGAAATTGAACTTGCACTGCCTTATTATTAAATGGCGTGGGTGCGCATGGCCTGCCTGTATCGCGCTACCCGGAGGCTGGAGGCAGAAGGTCACTCGGGGCCCAGGGTTGAGTGCTGTGAGCTACGGGCATCACTGGTAGCCGGGCCGGCAACGCAAAGCGAACTTGTTCCAAAAAACGAAAAAAAAAAGTCTATCATATTGGGCCGGGCGTGTGGTACGCTGTATCCTAGCGCTCTGGGGGAGCGCTGGAGGCAGGGTGGCTCAAGCCAATGCGAGGGGCAGTTGCTGGCAAGAGCGTGGACCGTCTGCTGGTGAACTGAAGAATAATTGGCCAACTAGAAGATATAGATGAGAAAAATTCGCCTGCTATTGTGGGCATGCTGCAGTCACAGCTACTGGGGGGTGGCAGAAGGATTGGCTTGAGGGGCCAGGGTTTGACATCTGGTGGCTGGCTGCCACAGCCTCTCCAGCTGGCGAACAGGGTGAGACTCTGTTTCAAGAAAAAAAGATTGTTCATTTTCCTTTTCGTTTTGAGGTTTTATTTGGACAGGTCGTCGCTCTGTTGCGTGGGTAGGAGTAATCTCCGAGCTCCGCAACTAACTTCTGGTAGGCAAGCCTCCTGCTCAGCCTCAGACTAGCTGGGGCCTAAGGCACCCAGGATTCTACTGGCTAATTTTTTTCTATTTTTTTTTGTTGTTTCATGATCTCACTCTTGCTCTTGGTCTTGATTTGTGACCTCTTCTTTCTCCCACGCTAGGGTCTCAAGTGCTAGGATTATACGTTAGTGGGGCATGTGCCTGGCTTTACTTTATAAGTTTTAGTAATTAGGTCGGAGAGAGAGACAGGGGATCGGATTTTTGTTGTTACCGTTTAATGGTGAAGTGGTTCGCTATGCAGGCATTAGTATAACAGCAACAGAATCTTTCTTAAGAGATAGAGATATTGTGTTGGAAATGTCCATTGTTACATTGTTTTGTCCTTTTCGGTCTGTTTTGTGTTTCGTCTCACTGTTTTAAACTTAGAGTTCCCTAGCATTCCATTGGCGCTGCCAAATTCAGCTTGCTCCCTGCGCCACGGTTCCTTGGTCCTTACATGACCACACTTCCAATACATGTTTGTTGCCTCTTCATCAAGAGACAATGCAGCTCGGGTCCTTCTAGCAAGACACCTAGGACCGTATGATTTTGAACACCCGGTATCTGTGTATTCCCATCGTGCATTCAAATTTGGCTGGAGAAGTCTGTAGCAGCCGTAGGGAGAAATATCACATGAGGGTTTATAAATACATCCATTGAATTTCTATTCAGCGTTTATTATGGAGCATCAAAAATACTTACATTTTACACATAAGATTTTCTTTTAGGGGAAGGAAACAAACATGGCTAAAACAGAAAAGGAAAGATGGATGTTTCCATCCAAACTTTAATAATGTGGATTTGGTTTTTTTTTTTCAGTTCAGGTATTTTAAATGTAGATATGCTTATTGCTCTACTGGGAAAACAAACATTAAAAGATGACTATTTACCATCTTCATTCAGAGATAATTTCTTGACCACTGAAACCTGAGGATCCAAACATTCAGAGCTCCGACAAAAGTTGGAATCAAAGTCGAGTGTTAAGGCACTAAAATGATTGTCACTAGCATAGTTATTCAAACCCTCGCTAGAGGAGAACTCCTGTTTTCTGGTCTGTGACATCAAAGATGTGTAAGTCCTATTGCTCGCCGACCTCGACTTCGAGACGTTTCCAGAGCTTGTGAGAATAACAGAGTATGTCTCAGCCTCAGGGGGGCTGAGGTGAGCACTGGATGGGGTTCCTGGAGATAGTATTTGAGGAGCTGAAGCGAAGGTGTCAACGGTGTCATAACTTGACAAATGAGAGTCGGGCACAGGAATGCGAGCAGCTGTCAGTTTCCTCAGTACCTCTTCAAAATTTCTCTTGGTGTTGGTCTGTGGACTATCAAAACTGCTAGACTGGTATTTGATTATCTGTCGAATCGGATCTGAAATGGCTTCTCTCCTTTGGATGGCTCTGATTTTTCTACAAATGCTTTCCACTGGGTTATGCCGCTTCCCAGGGACTTTCCTTGCAGAGGCCATTGGTGACTTCTCCCCCGGTTACACAGACGAAGTGGCTAAAGTATAGGAAAAAGTAGACACATATTTAAAAGTTAGCATTGTCCTAACAATAATTGAGCAACAGGCCATTTATTCCCAAGTCAACTTTGGAGGGCTCGAGACCAGACGCTCAATTGCTTTAAGCAACTTTCCATGCATTTAACTTTGGCAATCAAACTTCTAGGAAAGAACAGCTGACATACGTAAAGGATTTACCATGTGCCAGGCATAGTGCTAGGCTCTATACCCTTCATCTCATGACTTCAAAACAACTCCGAGGGCCGAGCTCATGGTGGCTCATGCCTGTAATTCTAGTGCTCTGGAAGGCCAAGTCCGGAAGATCTCTGGAGTTAGGAGTTCGAGACCAGCCTGAGCAAGACAGAGACTTTGTCTCTACCAAAAATGGAAAAAATTAGCAGGATGTGATGACGTGCACATGTAGTTCCCAGCTACTTGGGAGCCTGCGGCAGAAGGACCACTTGAGCCCAGGAGCTTGAGGCTACAGTGAGCTACGATGACACGCCACTGCATGCCACCCAGGGCCACAGAGCAAGACCCCATCTCAAAAGATAGAAGAGAAGAGAAGAGAAGAGATTAGCCAAGCACAATAGCGTTCACCTGTAGTCCAAGCTACCAGGGAGGCCAAGGCAGGAGGATTGCTTGAGCCCAGGAGTTTGAGGTTGCTGTGAGCTATGATGACGTCACTGTACTCTACCCACAGCAACAAAAGGAGACTCTGTCTCAAAAATTAAATAAGTAAATAACTAGTCTAGGCAAAAAATTACAATCGTTTGAATAGTTACAACCAAATAGTTGAACAGTTATGAAAGTATTAGTTTTGAAAGTTATGATTTTTTAGGACCTTGACAAAAATTTCCATAGATTTTTTTTTTAACTCCCCTAATAAAGAATGAACAAGAAGTATGGAAATTTTAAAAGAGCTATAATTGAAAGGGGTACCTAGAAGGACAGGAAGATACTCAAAGAAGAAGACACTCAAAATCCCCTCAATCTAGCTTTATCTTACTTTAATACAATGAGTTTCCACTATCCTTTTTACCATTTAGGACCATCTCTGCACCTTTATGTTGTCTCCTAACAATACCTTCTTTTCCATCTATGCAAAGCTTATCTTTCAATGTGTAGCCTAAAACACATTCCTTTACTAGAATTCTGGAATCGGTTTATACTCACTGGACTCAATTCTTTCTGATCTTTCCTAGGATTTATAATTATACTGTATATTTTCTCATTTAATTAAATGTCGTCTTTCATTCTTGGATTGTTTCAAATGTGAATGCATGTCGTCTCCTCAAAAATGCTTTTAATGCTTGTATTCAAATGCCATCATGTGATTCTTTCCCTAGATATTCAATACATAATTGTTGGCACAACTGCTAATCTGCAATTATATAGAATATCTATAATTATCAGGCTTGTGGCCATGCCCCCCAGCTGCTGTGATTTTTGGCTCCCAACTACATTCAGCTCCCAACTACATCACTTTTTCTGGAGAATTACACCATTTTGTCTAAACAAGAGCTGCTCAAGTGGGAAGGTGGAAGTGAAATAGTAGTAATGACGGAAGAGAATTTGCTCGTGAACACGATGCACTCCAAATCTACAGGTGACTATGAAAGTGACTTAGCAGGAATACATCTGACTTCCTCATGTCAAGCAAAGGGCCTTACTAAAGACTGGGTAAGTATCTATCAGTGTTTTCAATTTGAGTTGACTGTTTCTCCCAGAGACCGTTTCTTCCCGAGCCAGGGAAATTGAGGGACAGGTTGGATATGGGGCTAACGGATGCCCTGGAGTTGGAACCTCAGACTCCCAAACCCTGTCTACCCCTGTCACTGAACAACCACCTGGTGTGTTGTTCAAGTCACAATGAGAAGCCTCACTTTGTAGGCATTTGTTACTGACCTGGATTAACCTTCCTAGTGTACAAGACACGCATTTGTATTTGCTTTTCCAAAGCATTTTTCTCCTTCTACCATCTGTCTTCTAAACTTCTACAACTCACCTGAGTCCTGCTTGGTGGTTGATAAGCTAAACCTCATGAAGAGTACACTTAAGACACTGGCTCTTCATGAGCGAACAGAGCTTCACAAGGTTAACTTGTTTTGCTTTTTCTAATATAAAGCATAACATTTGTGAGAGTTCAATGAATAAGATGCGGTGATAAAGATTTCAAAATTTGTGCCACCTTCATCATATACGGCTTGGAAATACCTCTTGTCTCTTCTGTCTAAACCTCTTAACCTCTTTTTTAGTTTTAGATCCTGGTGGAAAAGATCAGCTGCAGTCTGCCAGAATACTTAAAAATACAAGTCTAACTTGCTTTGTATTATACAATTACTGCCTTTGAAAAAGCATTAACTGAAAAATTAAAAACAGAGTGAATTGTACTAGGAGAATCAGTTGCCTGAAGTCTTTTAAAAGGAATTTCCCTGTTATTTATCTGTTTTAGCTGATTATTTACTGTGTGAAGATGATACACTTGCAGAAATCCCAATGGCAAGTGCTTCTTTTGCTTTTAGGTTCTATGAACTCAGTTACATTTCACATACTTCAAGCAGCCAACCAATATTTATTAAATTCCTACTAAGTGCTGAACCCTGTGCAGATACTAGGGATGCAATGATGAAGAAACCAGAGCACCTGCTCTCCTAAAATTTGTAATCTGTGGAAGATGCAGATATGAACAAGTAAGCCAATAGGGTTGCCAGATTAACCCCAGGATGCCCAAAATTTTAATTTCAGATAAATAATGATCATTTTTTTAGTATAAGTCTGTCCGAAATGTTGCATGGAACATGCTGAGACTAGAAAACTATTTGTTGTTTACTTGAAATCCAAATTTCAATGCATGTCTTTTATTTTTATTAGCTAAATCTGGCAACCCTAAAGCCCACAAATAAATAATTACTCACATAGCCAGGAACTGTGATAGCCTGTAATAGATTATCCCAGTTTGGGAGTGAGTGCAGGGAAAAATTTAGGGGCATCTATTATGTGCGATACACTATTCATAATACTATACAAATTGTTAGCTAAATGCAGGGTTAGAAACAGAACATTTTAAAATAGAACTATAAATATGCTACAGGAATTTCCACTTGGATTCCCATGAGCTAAATGTAAAGTAAAATAATGTTAGAGATTTCCCATGCTGCTTATTTCACTAATCTTACTGCTTAATCCCTCCTATTGATTGAATGTGCCTCACTGTTCTTGATTATAGACTCTTAGTCCCATTACTATTACTATTGCCTGAATTGTCTTGTTATATATAGTAAAAGCTCTTGAATTAACACTTTTCAACCATCTGCTTGATCCAAAACTGTAACGCAACAATGAAAACCCTCTGACGATGGCAACAGTACAGGTGGTGAACCTGTCACCTTGAGGCCATGTGTACTACTCTTCTGGATCCTTGAGTGTAGCCTTTTGACTAAATCCAATTTATTAAAGGGATTCGTTCTGTGACGTTTGGATTCGGTCAAGGGGCTGCACTAGGGGATCCAGAGGGCCACATGTGCCCTTGAGGCCACGGGTTCTCCACCCCAAAAATTTCATTTCAAAGAAAGTCATAACAATTATACAGAGGTACAAAAGTAGCATCCTTGAAAAAGCTGGCAGATTGCAGGGTGATTCAAAAGGCTCTTTAGAAAGCCTTAGAATCAAATTCTAACTCAAAAAAAGATTATGTTGACAATGTAATTATCTTTCCTTTACCATTTTTTTTTCTTTACCACAATTTTTTTTTTCTCCCTTTACTAATATTGTTTCTTGAACATTGAACTTTCAAACCTTAGGTCAGGTGGGCAGATTTTTTAAATTATTCAATACTTGATATGAAAGCCAGACAAATCTTTCATGGCTCACCTGAGCACCACTTGGTAGTTTAATAAATGTAAAATCCTTAATTAATGCATGTAAAAAAATCTAAATATACGGGTACATAGCTAACTAGATAGTTACAAACAAGGGGTTCCTTTTGCCAAAACATCCCTTCACTAATGATTAGATGCCACGAAACTCTTCATCAAAACTAAGAAGAAACATCTGTTCACTAAGACGTTCCCAGGAAACCCATCTTTAGGGAGCTCAGTGGGAGGGCAGACCATGCTTTCCCACTTAACCAGCGAATTTTATATTTGCCATTTTAAAGTATTTTCAGTCTCTTTGTGACTAGTATTTTATGTGATAAAATAATAACACTTACTTTTCCCTGCCCTTTCTAGGTTAGTTGATAGCAGCTGTTAATCAAAATGATTTGCAAACAAGTCCCAGATTTAGTAAATGCTCAGTGAGTTTGTCATCTGCAACCTTTCTGATTATTAATAAATGCAAGCTGGTATAGACTAGAACCCTCTCCTCCCACCATTCACCTAACCTTGTTATATTAAGCTTCTTGGCTGGGTCTCACCAAGCTTGTTATAAACATCTCTTATTGGAACAATTTCTGAAATAGCAGAACACCACATATGCTTCTGAAAACTGACTGTTCTTCTGTTTCACTTCTTATTGTATGAGGTCTGGTTTTCTTCTCAGAGACCAGGAGAAGACCTACAATAAAATCTCTGACTCCAACAACTGAGGTGCTCCCATGTTCTTACAGTCAACAAAACTACCTTACTGGCGGGGCACGGTGGCTCATGCCTGTAATCCTAGCACTCTGGAAGGCCGAGGAGGGAAGATCACTTAAGGTCAGGAGTTCGAGACCAGCCTGAGCAAGAGCGAGACCCCTATCTCTGATAAAAATAAAAAGAAATTAGCTGGACAGCTAAAAATATATGGAAAAAATTAGCCAGGCATGGTAGCACATGTCTATAGTCCCAGCTACCTGGGAGGCTGAGGCAGGAGGATCACTTGAGCCCAGGAGTTTAAGGTTGCTGTGAACCAGGCTAATGCCACAGCACTCTAGCCTGGGCAACAGAGTCAGACTCTGTCTCAAAAAAGAAAAACCACCTACATTACTGCTTTCCACTAATGCTCATTCCTGATGGCGAAGCCTGGAAACACCATTAAGGACTTTTTAAGTATCCAAAAGTCCCTTTGAAAACAATTCTGGGATTTGCTGATGGTAAAAGCAACACTTCTGGGGAACCTAGCTTTACCACTCTCAGCGATCCATCTTTTTTCCCCATTTTTTCAGTGGTTTTCTTTTCTAGATTGGTTTCAAGTTTTCAATGAACTCTGTTGAACCTTTAATATAGCCTGATAGCGGAGCTTTGTCTCATTTGCTGCAGGCAAATTGAGGTTGGGGTTGGGGTGAAGGAACGACAGGGCAGTTTACATCTAAGATTGCTTTTTTAGTTTACTATTTAGGGCGGTACTTTCCTGGCCTTAGCTGACTGACTAGGGGCCAGCATCAGCCAAAATTGAATTATTTACTTGGGGAAAACTCACCACTGTATTTTCACTTCACTTTACCAGCACTCCAAGAACCATCTTCTGCAAACTGGGAAGAGAAAGCAGAGGCCAACAGATCAGGTGACGTGGGTGGAGCTAATTTCTACAGTGTGGCTGGGTGAGGGGAAAGATAAAAGCTGGAGAGGAGGGAAGCCACTGATCAGCTGCACCTGCCTGGGTTCTAGCCAAGATAATGAGGCGCCATTTTGGTTCACTCCCCACCACAGTGATAACAGCAAAATAAAGCTCACTCCAAATATACTATCTCTAATTCTCTCTAGGATGAAGGAAAAGTCGTTTTTTAAATTAAATTTCATAAGTTGCTGTTGGGCCAAATGCTGTATGGTTTTTAAAACATGAGTGGAATTATCCCTGTGTTTTATGGGACCATATCTGGTTTGGGAGACACAGTATATAAATTATACAAAGTATAATAATGAAACAATGAAATGCATGAGTACTACATAAATTAAGCTCCATGGGAGGTCAGGATAGGGTAAATCCAATGTAGGTTGAAAAGTGCTTATAAAGGAAGGGGTACATCTCTGGGCTTAATTAAATAATAAAACAGTTTGGGCAGCTGGGGGTTTGGGCAAAGCTGAGCAGTTGGGAGAGAGAGAAAGCACAGTGGGGAGACCCAGATTGTTGTTTGGCATCACCGGGCAAGCGGTGTGGTGGAACCAGGAGCTAGGTGGGCAGATGCAGAGCAGCAAAAAAAGTGTGAGCTTGGAAGGTAGGACACGGCCAGATTCTGAAATGAATGAAATCTTCTCCAATGCCATTTCCCATCCAAGGAAATACTATTCAGCTGAGACAGTATTTAATCTTAAAAACAGATCAAAATAAAACCTACCTTAAAACAAACAAACAAAAAAGCAAACCAGGATCAGGACTCTAAACACACAGCCCAAGGCGCCCAAATGGGGACATTTTGTCATCAAACTGGCAGTTTTGTGTAATACACTCCAGGCTTTTCTAGCCAGACCGCTTATGGTCCCTGTCCTTACGTTTCACAGACATTAACTCAGGTGATTTTCTACTTCTCCTCTATTTTCTCTCTCCCCTGCTTCACTTACGGTGCTCTGAAAAAATCTCATTTTTAAATATCTAAATTTTTATATATGCTCCTCTCATCAGGAGAGAAGAAAGGGGAGTCAAGTAGTTAAGAGTTGGGGCTCTGAGTTTAAATGACCTCAGTTCAAATCTCAGCTCTGCAGCCTGCTGGCTTTGTGACCTTAGATAGATTGCTTAACCCTCTGTGCCTCAGTTTCTCCATCTGTAAAACTGCATTAATATCATGCAATGACCTCCTGGCTGTGCTGCCGGGATTAAATGAGATAATACGTGCACAGCCTATAGAACCTCGCAGCACATTCTGAGTACTCAGTAACGTTAGGTATTATCATGCACTGTCTGAGAAAGTCCTTTAATTTGTTCCGGTATTAGATGTCCTCTTAAAGCACCAAATGGCACCTAGAAAGAAATGACCAGTTAGCCTATTCCTCTCATGAGACTTGCACTGTTTAATTTCCCATGAAATGCACTATCATAAAATCCATGATCTGCTTATCAATCCACAGATACCGAAACCAGCAACACCCAGAGAGATTTCCCTCCTAGTCATAAGGGAAGCCAGTAGCGGAGCCAGAAATAATATTCAAATTCTGAACTCACTAGACCATATCGCCTGTCTGACGAATCATACTCTTACTTCCTGCTTCCAATGAGGGTAGCAGAACTGACGTTTCTCTGAGCAGTAAAGGGAATAATATGAACAGTAAATTCCAATGGATCTACAATGAATTGCATTATAACATGTGATTTCATTATTTACCTAATCTTGCCCTCATTATAGTTCTCAGAGAGCACCCACAATGCGGGGCTTTGCCCACTGGGAGCAAACAGGGAAAAGAGCAGACCCTGGATGACAAAGGCAGGTGACTCCTGTACCCACCCCACCCACCCGCCCCAAAGCACCCAGAAGCATGCAGTCTCTACTGAAACAGATTTTCCAACTCTGAACACTTGTTGGTTAAACATGAAAAGAATACAAAGGTCAAATGCAGATTTGACAAAAAGAAAGCCAAGATAGGAGTTCATGTTTTAGACACACTGCAGGTAGTTGGTAAAATACCGTGTTTAACCGAAAATAAGACCTACCCATAAATAAGCCCTAGCAGGATTTCTAAGCATTTGCGCAATTAAGCCCTACCCGAAAATAAGACCTAGTGATGTCTGGCTACGCAGTTATCTGCACAACCCATGCACTTTGTCACGGAGTGGTAAAGATAAAAAAAATAACACATCCCCTGAAAATAAGCCTTAGGCCTAGGGTGTCTTCTTGAGGAAAAATAAATATAAGACCCTGTCTTATTTTCCGGGAAACACCGTAGTTGTTACTTGCCAAGTAACCTGAAAGCAATGAGATAACCTATAATGGACACCAATCCCAGCCTTCAAATGGCATTTCAAGGAAATTAAATCTTATCATGTAAATAGGTCAAAAAATCTATTTAAATAACATGTCCCCTTCTCTCTAATACAATCTTCAATATTGTTAGATTATCAAGCTTTAAATATATGTTGGATCTCTAGTATTAATCTCTGGTTGATCCAAGGAAGTCATTCTGTCTAACCAAATATAAATGGGGGTGAGAGGGTGTTACAGTTTAGAGTAACTACTAGAAGAAAGGGAGGAAAGAAAGAAAGTTGTCTCTACTAAAAATAGAAAGAAATTAATTGGCCAACTAAAAATATATATACAAAAAATTAGGCAGGCATGTGGCACATGCCTGTAGTCCCAGATACTCAGGCGGCTGAGGCAGGAGGATTGCTTGAGACCAGGAGTCTGAGGTTGCTGTGAGCTAGGCTGACGCCACGGCACTCTAGCCCGGGCAACAGAGTAAGACTCTGTCTCAAAAAAAAAATTGTAATAGCTGTTGCCAAGTTGGTTTCCATAGAGGTTGTACCAATTTATAGTCTCTCCAACAATCTGTGAGCCCGCCTGTGTCCCCACACCCTGACAAACACAATGTGTTGATCCCCGCCAATCTGATAGGTAAAATATGGCATCCGACCATTTGAATTTGCATTTCTCTCACTATGAATATGGTTTCGTGTGTTTAAAGCCATTCGTATTTCCATTTCTATGTTCTATTTGTTCATATTCTTTGGTCATTTTTCAAAGGGCTTGATTTTATCCATTTCAACAGTTTTTTGGTTTTTTTTTTTTTGAGACAGAGTCTCACTTTGTTGCCCGGGCTAGAGTGCCATGCATCAGCCTAGCTCACAGCAACCTCAAACTCCTGGCTCAAGCGATCTCCTGCCTCAGCCTCCCGAGTAGCTGAAACTACAGGCATGCACCACCATGCCAGCTAATTTTTTCTGTATATATTAGTTGGCCAATTAATTTCTTTCTGTTTATAGTAGAGATGGAGTCTCACTCTGGCTCAGGCTGGTTTCGAACACCTGCCCTCGAGCAATCCGCCCGCCTCGGCCTCCCAGAGTGCTAGGATTACAGGCGTGAGCCACTGTGCCCAGCCTCAACAGTTTTTTATATATTATGAAATTTATTTCTTTGTGATATGTATTACAAATACATTTTAACCATGTGTCATTTATAGTTTTTGTTTATGGTGTTTTTTGCCACACAGATTTTTTAAAAATATAATCAAATTGCAATCTTCCTTCATGCAGCTTCTGAGTTTGTGTTAGCCTTAGAAAAAGCTTCCTGGCTCCAGAATTATAAAAACATTCTCCTGTGTTTTTTTTTCTAGTGTTTTTATATTCCATACATTTGGAATTAATTTTAGTGTTTAGAGAAATGGGACTCCACCTTCGTTATTTTTCAGATGGCTACCTGGTTTTCTCTAAGAAATTACCCTACTGATACACTTGCACATATTTACAAAGAAAAATGTAAAAACACATTTATTATAGTATCCTTTGAAATGGCAAAATATTTAAAAAACCTTAGCAACTTCAACAGAGTACTGGTGACATAAATTGCAATTCATTTACCCACTGGACTGAAATATAGCTGTTTAAAAGAAAGGTTCTAACTGTGCTGCTATAGAATCTGAAAATTATCGGTTGTTATAAATCAACCCTATGCTGAAGAACAGTGCTCACATTATTTCTGATTAAAACAAAACAAAACAGAAAAAAACCATACGATACAAACACAAAACAAAACACTCATACACATAAATATAGAAGAAACCAGAGACAATAATAACCCCGGGAGGAAAAACTGGGGGACTAGGGAACAGTGGTAGAAAAGAGATTTAATTATTTCTGCCTATTTTTTGTCCACACTCATGTATGATATCACCTACTTAAATAAATGGATCACTCTAGACTGGGCAACAAAGTGAGACTCTGTCTCAAAATAAATAAATAGATGAATTACGAAAAAAATAGATTTCTTAGAACTCAAGTTATTATGTTTTAGTGACTGATTCATTATCACATAAGGTAGATTTGTAAGATAATGTCATATACAGCATTGAAACCTGCCCTTTTCGTTCAGCAAAATTCTTTATACATGTGTGAAAATGTGGATACATAGCACCCTCTGCTGGTAAATAGTTGAAATTCAGTGACCCCACAAATCATTAATAAACCTACCTATGACTTAATCTTAGGTTCAAGTCTGTGGTTACTAGTGTGTGTTTGAATGGTGTATCATAAGGATGATAATATTTTGTATTATCACTTTTAAAACACAAATTAATTTTCTAAAGTTACAAAAGCTACACATTTTGGTAGTGGCCCGCAATTCTAGTGTTTTAACTGTCGTCTGGGTGCAGAACTATGCTTTTGATCATGTGGGAACATTGAGGATAAAATAACTATTTTTAACAATAGTTATCACTAATTTGTATAAAAGTAAGCAAGATTGTGCATGTTTGTCAGTCTGTTTATTTTCATCATGTCCGTCACCATTATAATTCATTCATTCAACAAGTAGAGAGTACTTGGTGTGTTCACTGTATATCGCTAGAACTTGTGCTAGGGATATACAGGGAATACAATAGGCAAACTTCTTGCTCTCATGAAGCTTACTTCCCATGGGAGGAGAAAGAAAGTTACATAATAGGCAAACAAAAAAAAAATAGTACGTTATGGACTGATACATGCTAAAGAAAGAAAAATAAAGAGAACATGAAGAATGATTTTGGAGGAAGGCTTGCAGCTGTAGATGGGATAGCTAAGGAAAGGCTCGCCCTAAGGCATACTTGAATAAAGAGGTGAGAAAGTGAAGGAGGCAGGCAGAGGATACCTGAGGAAATGCATCCTGGCAGAAGGAAGAGCAAGTGCAAAGGGCCTGAGGTACACATTTGCCCGACATATTCAAGAAACAGCAAGGAGGCCACTGTGGCTGGAAAGACATAAATATAGGGGAGAGTAGTTGGAAATAAGGTCAGAGCACTAAGGGAAGGGGAGCAAATGATACAGGATATTGGCGTTGTAGAAAGACATTGCCCTTTGCTCTCAGGGAGATGGGAGACCACTGAAGGATTTTAAGCAGAGCAGAGATGTGCTCTGAATAAATGAATGAAGTAAAGGGAGTCGAGGACAGAAATGGTGAGACTAGTTAGACATTTACAGCAATAATCTGGGAGGAGAAATGATGACAAGAAGTCATGGATAGGCCTGGCGCGGTGGCTCACGCCTGTAATCCTAGCACCCCTGGGAGGCGAGTGCGAGGATTGCTTGAGGTCAGGAGTTCGAAACCGCCTGAGTAAGAGCGAGACCCATCTCTTACTATAATACAAAGAAATTAATTGGCCAACTAACATATATAGAAAAAAGTTAGCCGGGCATGTGGGCGCATGCCTGTAGTCCCAGCTACTCAGGAGGCTGAGGCAGGGAGATCTCTTGAGCCCAGGAGTTTGAGGTTGCTGTGAGCTAGGCTGACGCCACGGCACTCACTCTAGCCTGGGCGAACAAAGTGGACTCTGTCTCAAAAGAAAAAAAAGAAGTCAGGATAGTTGGTATAGATATGACTGTTAGATAAGGCAGGACATGCTGGCAGACAAATGTGATACGAGAATAATAAGAGGATAAGAAAAACTTCAAGATTGTGACCCAATGCACCCTGGCTGGGATGGACATGCTTGTAGCTCTGACTCAGGTGGTACAAATGCAACATATGTGAACCTAAACATTTGTACCCCTGTAACATTGTGGAAAAAAGATCGTGACCTGAGAACTGTAGAATGTAGCTGCCATTGATTGAGATGGTTTGGAGGGAGGGAGGAATACCAGGAACTCAGTCCTAGAATGTTGAGTTTAAAAAGCTCTTGAATATTCAATTCACAAGACAGTTTTTAAGATTTGCTTTTATTTTATTTTTAATTGGCAAGTAAAAATCCTGTTTTATTTGTGGTGTACAACATGGCGTTTGAATATCCATCACACTGTGGAATGACTAAATCAGGCTATTTAACATATGCATGACCTCATATGCTTACTTTTTTTGTGGAGAGAACACTAAAAATCTACTCTCCCTGCCGGTGCGGTGGCTCACGCCTGTAATCCAAGCACTCTGGGAAGCCAAGGCGGGTGGATTGCTCTAGGTCAAGGGTTCAAAACCAGCCTGAGCAAGAGCTTGGCCAACTAATATATATAGAAAAAGTTAGCCGGGCATGGTGGCGCATGCCTGTAGTCCCAGCTACTGGGAGGGCTGAGGCAGGAGGATCGCTTGAGCCCAGGAGTTTGAAGTTGCTGTGAGCTAGGCTGATGCCACGGCACTCACTTTAGCCTGGGTAACAAAGTGAGACCCTGTCTCAAAAAAAAAAAAATCTACTCTCCCACCATTTGCAAGTGTCCAATATATGGTTGTTAACTGTAGTCACCATGTTTTACAGCAGATCTTGAATTTTCTCCTCTAAATGAAACATTGACTCACACCTTCCTCAATCTCCTCATCCATCCCAAAATAGTTCTTTGTTGTCCTATTTCCTATATTAACCTTCCACATAAAACATATTTGTACAAAGTCAAAATAAAAGTGAAGCGGAAGTGTCCAATAGGCACTGGATATATGGTCTGGATTCAAGGATTCACCTTCAACTTTCGAGTTGA